GGGAGCAGCCGGGACAGCCCCAAACAAGCCAAAATCACGGGACTGGTTTGAACATCCTGGCCATTTGTGTTTATTCGGGTTTTAAGGAATACATGGTGGATTCGGTCCTTTGGCGGTTTGGTTTTTGAGCCCCCGCGGTCTGGTTTCTGGCTCTTTTATGCAGCCTAGAAGCTGGAAACTTACTTGGGAAAAAACAAAGACAAGAAAAACCAATAAAGAGAAAGCTGAGCTTCTCCCACCCTTCCCTGGCTCTGGGCGCTAAGTAAAACTTCCAACATTGCAAGACTGGTGATAGAGCCGTGGAAGCCAGCAATGCCCTGGGAAAGCAGCGAACGCTCCCTTTTACGCTGCCCGAGTGGTGTTGGTGGAACTAAGCATCGGGCCTGATCTGGTACCGTCTCGCACTCACATGGAAATTGGGCAAATGATGCCCAAGGGACAGGGAGCCAGACCTACGGCGTTTAAGGCCAGCAGGACCCATTCTGCATAGGTGTTGAGTTTGATTTTTCCCCAGGGGTGCACCACTCCCTCTCTGCCCCGAGCCCTGTCCCCACTCCATCCATTCCACTGAGGCTCCTCCCTCATTCTCCCTCGTCCCACCCTTGCCCCTCTCCCTCCCCGCCCTCGCTCTGACTACACTTGCCTCCTTCCTACCTCTGCCCAGAGGCCCCCACCCTCCCACCACTCTCTGCTCTTCGCCCTCCCCTCATCTCCAAACAGCTGCTTGGTGACACTGCAGAGCTGCTGATGGGCAGCAGCTCAGAATAGCTATGGGTATGTCTACACTACAGCACTAATTCGAACTAACGTAATTCAAATTAGTTAATTCAAACTAAGCTAATTCGAACTAGTGCATCTAGACCTAAAAACTAGTTCGAATTAGCATTTTGCTAATTCAAACTAGCATGTCCACATTGAGTGGACCCTGAACCGAGGTTAGGATGGCCAGAAGCAGTGCCGGCAGGGCATCAGGTTAGGACTTAGAGCGTGCAGCTGCTGTCTCAGGCTAGCCGAGGGCTGTGCTTAAAGGGACCCGACCCCCACCCTGGACAGACAGTTCTCAGGGGTTCTCCACTCACTTGTCTAACTCGATGAGGGACAGCAAAGCAGTCCTGTCTAGGGGTATGTCTACACTACCCCGCTAGTTCGAACTAGCAGGGTAATGTAGGCATGCCGCACTTGCAAATGAAGCCCGGGATTTGAATTTCCCGGGTTTCATTTGCATAAGCCGGGCGCCGCCATTTTTAAATCCCAGCTGGTTCGAACCCCGTGCCGCACGGCTACACGCGGCACGAACTAGGTAGTTCGGACTAGGCTTCCTAGTTCG